CATAGGGATGAGGGACAATCACCGTCCACAGAAAGCATCGATCACCCTGTGAGGGCCAAGAAGCCTGAACCAGGGCCTTTGCTTGGAACATGTAGTCTTTCCACGTGAGCCTGATTCCAAGGGAGGAAGCCTGTGGTGGTTTGGGGGTGCCAGACACAAGTGTGTGGAGAGGTGGGGAGGGAGCTGAGAGGTCTCCCTGAGGGGTAGCTGGCTGTGGACAAAGGGTCTTTGGTTCTGCTATTTCCTGAGAGCTGGGTTGTTCCACTGTGACTCGCAGGAGGTGATTCACCTGTGTGGCTGGCTCCCCCTCCTGGTCGCTCTTCGGTCCCCTCTCATGGTGATGGGTGGAGGGAAATGGCTTCCTCAAATTGGGCACTCTGGTGGGGTGGGGTGGGGTGGGGTGGGGGAGGTGTCCTGATGAATCTCAGGGCGAGGGTTCTGGAACCTTTCCTCAGCCCTTGACCCTTCTTGACCCTTCTTGACCTTTGGCTTTGAAGTCCAAGAAAACAAAGATCATACTTCTTCTCTACCACTTAGTAAGAAATTGTTTATTATGTACAATTTCAAGCATACACAAAAGTAGAGAGAATTGGATAATAAATACCATGTAACTCGTGACCAAACTCCTGGCCATTCTTAATTCAGCGACTTTTCCTCTCCCCACTGGATTATATGTCATTTCACCCAGAAATATTTCAGTTCCTATCTCTAAAACCTGAGGACTCTATTTAAAATAACATCTCAGTCACTCTTTTCTAAAGGAGAAAAAAAAAAATCTCCTGAAAATGAGATTTTTTTTCCCCCTTCCCCACATTCTGAACATTCATATGTTTAAGGATTTGGGCCAAGTAAAATAATCTGGACATCTCCCTGCAGTTGGTTTCTTCGTGATTTGGCCTATGCTGTTGAAATAGGATCCTTGGGGACTTCTCCCTACATCTGCCTCACCTCCTCCTTTTTCCTGTTTTGCAGGATATTGAGGCAACTATGAACTCTGCCCTGAACGAGCTGCGTGAGCTAGAGCGGCAGAGCAGCGTCAAGCACACCCCTGATGTGGTTCTGGACACCTTGGAGCCCCTCAAAACCTCCCCAGTGGTGGCCCCCACATCGGAGCCCTCCAGCCCCCTGCACACCCAGCTCCTCAAGGACCCCGAGCCCGCCTTCCAACGCAGTGCCAGTACTGCTGGGGACATCGCTTGCGCCTTCCGGCCCGTCAAGTCTGTGAAGATGGCTGCCCCCGTCAAGCCGCCGGCCACACGACCCAAGCCCACTGTCTTCCCCAAAACAAATGCCACTAGCCCTGGTGTCAACTCATCATCTTCCCCACAGTCCACTGACAAGTCTTGTACTGTCTGAGGGATATAATTTAATTGTTCTAGACAAGGGGACTGGAGGGACTGACTGTTATTAAAAATCTTCCTATTTAACTAGCTTGGGGACTTCAGTTGAAAATTAGATTCTAAGTTGTTCTTGCCGGAATTAGCCTTCCCATCACCCAAAACCTTGAGAATGAAGCCCTCGTTATCACCCTGCCCTGCCCTTCCCGCTGCCCTCCGCTTCTCCCTGTCGTCGTAATCCAGCCCGCTGCAGTACATACTGTTCTTAGGTTAGCCAGAGATAGATTTTTCCATTATCAGGTCACTGTGAAATCTGGCATGGCGAGTCATGAAGACACAGGCTCACGTCTCCGTCCCCTCAGACACAGGGGATGCCTGACCAGATGGTTGGCTACTGACAGCCAGCTCTCAGTGGCATCTTGTTTTGGGTACTGACTATAGAGAACCATATATAGTCCATTCTTCGTTTTACACACACACACACACGCACGCACGCACGCACAGGTTTTTTCTAGTCTCTGGCATGTGTAGCCTCTCCTGGTCCCAGACCAGTCTCTTTGTAAGTCATTGTGGCAGTTCACACAAGAGCCACCAGGGGCCTCTGTTTCCATTGCAAATCTTGTTCTGTCTGGGCCAGAGAACCTAGCCTTTGAAATCTCTCCATCATAAAAAATTGAGCAGGATGGAACTCAATCCTGTAATCTCTTTGGGGTTGGGGGCTTTCTCTCTGTCTTCTCTCTATTGGTGTGAATTGGTCATTGGTGTTTGCTTTTGCTCTCCTCCATCCTCTAGGAATACAACTCAGTCTTTTTATAGAACTTCTAAAGTTTTTCTGAATGTATAGACATTTCTCGGGTTCCTGTCTTTGTCTCTGATGGACCATTTTCCATTTAAGACATTTTCCTGTATAAGACAGTTTTATAGCTGGTTCCTTTTAGGATAAAGAGTCTTAAGAGAGTTTTATTGTGTTTATGGCAGGTTTGGAAAAGGTGAGAAATGGGTCCTTCTTCCTCCCACTTTTTTGGGGCACTTAAGACAATATTCATTATCCTATTCAAAAATTAAATTCAGCTTTGCTAACCCCCAAAGTGTTCCTGAATGAAAGTGTAACCTAAGCTCTCCCCTCTAGTTTGGGTTATTCTCTATAAGATCTCTCTTCAGGGACCAACAGGGGCTTGGAGAGCCCTAGTTAGATTAAAGAGAGACATTACTCCTTAAAACCTGTTTTCTTTTTTCCAAATAAGGACAACTAAGAGAGCTTCGGCCCCACGGGCTCTAAAGTCTTCCTGAGGCCGGAATCTAACAAAAAATTGGATGATGAATATTTCGGCCTTCTGTTGGCCTTTTTTTCTGGTTCTCCTCCCCAAAAAGCAGAAATGATGCCCTTGCCTACTTTAATCCGGTCTCTAAACCTGGTGCCCCTGGTCCCAGCTTCCCTGGCTTCACGCTGTCGTGGCAGTAGCAGGGCTGGGGACAGTCACACTCCCATTTCATGAGTCTCAGACAGCTATGTGAGTTAAAGCTGAATCTCGTTCCTCTTCTCTGTTTTCTGGTTTTAAAGCTATGCTTTTAGCCTTATTTTCTATAGGTCAAGAGAGGTGGTGGGTTGCCATTCAGATAGGAAAATCTGAGTTTCCTTATGTTTAGCCTAGAAGATTCCTTTTGGACCAACATTCTGAAGTTGGCAGTTGGTGCTGTGGAAAGTGGTAGGATTTTCCTCATTCTGGGTGAAGGAAGGAGGAGCTTTGGGGGAAACTGCTAATTTTTAGAAGGCTAATCTGCAACACCAGGACAACTATCCCAAGAGCTAGAAAGGAGAAATGAAGCACTCCTTCAGTAAAGTGAGTCAGCCTGTGAGAAGCGACCCACGGGCCTCTGGATTCTTGGCTTTTGTTTCTCTGTCCACTGGCCTGTCCTTGTCTCTCACCTGGACTTGCACAGGTCTTGAGCCAGCAGGGGCTTTCGGAACCAAGGATCTGTTTCCTTGATGAAAATGGAAGCCCTGCCCTTCACTTTACATTCCTTTTGATCCAACTGATCAAAATTGGCACCCATACCTGCCCTTTCCCCCTCCTTCCAGCACACTCCTCTCTGAGAAATCAAAGCAAAGCTTTCTGAATGACAAAGCTTTGGGCCTGTTCTGTCTTTCCTGCCTTATTTCTCTTGCAGCCCTTGTACATGACTTGTGTCCACCATCCCCTCGGTCAGTGTCCATCTGCCGATTCGCATCACGAACTGGACAGTGTGTGAGTGGCCACCTACTCCCCCCCCCCCCCAGCTCTGGGAGCCAAGTTGTCTTCCCCTCTCTGGTGCTCCTGACACTTGTGAGACAGACCTGTCGAGAGGACTAGGAACCCACGGAAGGAGCCTCCTTCTCGGCAGAGCTCCTGCGGTCAACTGGAATTCAGGTTGCACACTGTGATTTTTACACCGAAAAGCCAAAAGGAGCTGGCCATCCAGGGCCTAGGGAGACCAGTCTTCCTCAGATCTGCTTGCCTAAACCAGCATGATGCTTCGGAGAGCCCTGCTCTGCCCCTTGAGGCATGGATCCTTCTCTTGGTGTGGACTCTGATGGGTCAGTCTTTGGGGGAACAGAGGTGGGGTGGGGCTCCCAGCATCCCAATTTGGAAAAGAGAGGAGTTTGCAGCCAGCAGCCTGTAAACTGGAAACACTGGTCTCAGCCAACCTCCTCAGGGCGCCCTGGTTTCTCCCCAAGGAGAGGAGATGACACCAGCAACAGGATGAACAGACCATCGGAAGGGCTGGTGTGTGTGTACTCCACGTGCAGAAGAGAAGTTTAGATCTTCCAGGGAATTGCAATGTTGTGGCGTCTGACTTGTATGTCACGTTTGTGTAAAATGGTATATTCTTTAAAATAGTGTTGATAACTGGAATATTGTATGTATGCTTGGAGATGCTTTGTGTGAACCTAAGACTGTCACTCAACAGATGTTGGATTGGGGAAAATCCAAAGCACAACTTCGAAATAAAATACGTTTTTAGGTTTCGATGCTGCAGTTTATATCCCTTTTCCACTCCCTGAAATCTCCAATCCAGGAGTCCAGCGCCCAGGAGGAAATGTGATTCGTCTGTGCCGATAGAGCCCTGCCTGGCAACAGGAGAAATGTGACCTCAGAAGCGAACCACCTTCTCCCGCCCAGCAAGGCACAGCAGAGGTGCATCTAGAATGTGGATTCCCCCTCCCCCGCCAGCATTATGTGTGAAACCTAAGAGGTTTTGTAGAAAGTCTTCTAGCTCCCCATTGGGCAGTCTGTTGCCATGAGAACCATTTCCTTCACAGAATGCACCCACCCTGTTTTCAGGGAGGACCATTCTCGTTTCTATTGCTGGTCAGATTTCCTCACTTGGAGGAGTGGGGCCTGTCAGGTTGCTCGCAGGTTTTGCCAGCCACAACCAAGGGTGACTGAAGGTTGTATTTCTTCCCCAAGCCAAGCCCTGAGTCATTCTGCCTATGGATGCCCCCTGCCTCTGGGAAAAGAGCTGACCCCTATGCTCGTGCTGTTGGTGTTGAGCACAGGGGTGGGGCATACAAGAGATGCTTTCTCGCCTTTAGATTTTGATTCTAGCAGATCATAAGCTCAAGGGTGAAGTTAATTAAAGGTAGCAACTGACAATGCATCCAAGGGCTTACGCTTATTTTTACTGGGTTTCTTCCAATACCAGAAGCCCCTGGGGAGGGATCAGATCTCTCATATCCAAGGGGATGCCCAGTGTTCAATGGTAATATGAGGAATCGTACCCTGAGCCCTGGACCAGACACCACACTCAAAAAAGTCCATCACCTCCATCTGGCTCATGCCCTCCCAACCTGTCATCTCTTCCCCCTCCTTCATTTTAATAGTAGAGCTCCATCTTGAGCTTCTCTTGCTGGTCCCTTGGTCCTGGAGAAGTCAAAGGTGAGGCTGTCCTGCCACTCTGAGCTATGGGTGAGTTCTCCACTCCTGAGTGTAGGTGGTGACCTGTGAGATGGAGCTGTTTTTTTTTTTTTTTTTTTAAGATTTTGTTTATTTTAGAATGAGAAAGAGCATGAGAGGGGAGAGGGTCAGAGGGTGAACAGGGAGCACTATGCAGGACTTGATCCCGGGACTCCAGGATCATGACCTGAGCTGAAGGCAGTCGCTTAACCAACTGAGCCACCCAGGCACCCAAGATGGAGCTGGTTTATAAGCTGTGGGCAGAGGACCAAGGAGCCTTTACAGAGAGCCCAAAGGCAAAGGTGGGCTCTTGTGGAAGATCCTCTAATTGATTTTTACATATTCAGATGGGAGCTTGATGGAAGCTAGTGACAATGAACACAGTTGAAAACAGGCCCATTCCACCCAGATAGAAACCCAAAAAGGAGACCAGGTGGATATGAAATTAGGAAATGGCCTTAATGAGTATCTACTCTAAACATTTATCTCAATAGGTACATGAAGATTCTTTTTATTCTGGAGTTAGCTACCCTTGCATATTGCATGTGCCAAAGACTCATTGCTCAGTCAGTCAACAAACTCTAAGCCTCACTGTGTGCCAAGCACTGTTATAAAATATCAAGCAGGAGAAACAGATAATGGCGCTTTCTTTCGGGTGTGAGGGAGAACAGATAAATAAGCCAAGCAGGACTCTGAAAATGAAACAGTGTAATAGGTCATTAGTGCCTGGGGAAGGAGTAGTACAGTCAATCAAGAAATTCCGTGTAGCCTGGGAAAGCTGGAATGACTACTAGACGTCCAGATAGAACTATCAAATAGACTCTTGAGTATATGATATGGGGTTTTAGGGACGGATCACACCTGCACAGAAATTCAGGATCTATTTTATTATGGAGATAGTCAAATTACGAGATTCCCAGCAAGAATGTGTAAATGGAAACAAAGAAGGTCCCAGTAATTAGAAATCCAGTAGAGAGGAAGGCGCCGGCAAAGACAGAGGGAGCGGGTGACAGGTAGGTGCTTGGAGAGCACAGTGTCACAAACACCAAGTGAAGGACCGGTTTCAAGGAGGAGGGAGGCTTGGCTGTCAGATGCCAGTGGGTAAGATGGGGCCAGCTAGAGAGGCAATCATTCTTCGGTGACGCAGAGCTCTTTCAGTAGACGGGAAATGGGTCAGACTGGAGTGGGCTGGGCAGCCGCTGGGGAGGGAAGGGGCGGTCAGAGAGTCTCGGCAGCTCATGCAAAGACACGGTTTTGAATGGCGAGTTTCAAGAGGGACCGAGGGACCAGAGTTTTGTCTTAAAATGGGCTCTTTGAGGCATGTTTGCTCAAGAGCAGGAGCCAGTGGGTTGGAAAGAAGGAACGTGCAGGAGAGGCTGAATCACAGAGCACAGATGAAGGGGCTGGTCATGACCACGAGAAGAGACCCTTCCGTCTCACTAGAGGGAAAGCAGGTGCAATGCAAGGCAGGCAGTGGATGTGGGGGTGAGGAGATGATGGGGTTCCCTTTCAATGCTTCTTGTATGTCAGTGAAGTTTACGGCAAAGGCTTTAGTTGAGGGTAGGAGGGAGTGGTGAGCAGGAGGCTTGGAGAGTCAAAAGAATGAGTGAAGTGTTTTTTCCACACCAAGAAGGACAAGCGCTTGGTGGCACAGGGCTCAATTTCCCTCAGTGGCTTGGTGCTGCTCCCATGGCTCCTTTCCCCACTCCTTGGGGGAGCAGTGCCAGGTCTGGCTGCCGAGTGCGGCCCTCCTTCCTCACCCAGCGCTCCTGGCTAGAGCTGACTGATGAAGGTGGCAGGAAGCAGGGCTCTGAGACCTGGTCACTCAGCCCCTCATCGATGTGGGAGCGTGGCGAGTGCACCCTGCCCACCTCTCCCACATACCTGCCGGCCCTCACCCTTCTCCCCTTTGAGGTGCCAGACAGGTGAGGCAGCTATGACAAACAGGTTCAAGCCACGTAGGGGCAGAAAAAGCAACAAGTATTTATTCAGGGCCCACCAGGTAGCAGGGACTAAATCTCATTTTGCTCTTACACCAACTGTCTGAGAAAGGTTGGGCGACTAGGTCATGCAGAGCAGGGGGAAGAGCGAGGACTCCAACCTCTCCGATGGTAAAAGCCCTGCCCTTCCCACTACACACGCGGCCTCCCTTTGTAGAAGGTGGACATGCGCTTTCTCCCTGAGAGCTGCCATCAAAGACCCGCCTCTTCGCACCTCTGGCCCTTGTCCTACCTTTGGATTGCCACTTCTATTTCTAGGACTCCTCAGAGCCACTCAGGAAACTGCTGTGGCCTATTACAGACTTCCTCTTCCCCTCAGGAGCCCGCCAGCCTCCCGTGCCTTCCCCACAACGAAAGAAGGGCCTTGCTGCCCAGCCGGGACCAGAGTTTGTCCACACAGAGGATGTGACCTCACGGAGGATGCCCAGCGAAACTTGATCAGTCACCACACAGGGCTTCAGCCCACCTCCCCTCCCCCTTCTCTAGCCTTACCCCAGATGGTGCCCTCTCCTCACACCTCTGCGCCTCTGCACGTGTTCCCCCCTGCCTGCAATGCCTCACCTCCGACCCCCAATTCTCGGCCTCACTCCCCTGCCTCCGAAGCTTGGTTGAGCGTGCTTTCTCCTGGCAAGCCCTTCTGGAGACCACCCTGTCTCTGCTGCCCCTCACTTTGTGCCAGGTTCACATCACCACCAGCTGAAGTATGTACCCCAGAGCTTTCACCATGCGGGCTGAGCCCTGGCTCTGGGGGAGAAGCCTAGGACTTACCCTTGTGTCCTCAGCACCCAGTGCGGGCTTCCCAGCAGCTGCTAGACACACCTTCACTGTGTTTTGAGGGTACCTAAGACCCTGGGAAAGACAGACTGGGCTTGCTGGAGAGAGAAAAGTAGGGAGTGCTGGTAAGGACGCAAAGTTCATCAGGGAAAAACGAGACTTTTAGGGATAGGCTGGGTTCTGTTGCAAACCTCTGGCTTAAAACAACAAAGGTCGGTTTCTCATCAAAGGTACATGTCCCTTGTGGGCCAGCAGGGGGCTCTGCTGATGACAGTCACGTGGGGACCCTGACGAAGCAGTCACCAAGTCTAACAGAATCACAGGGTCAGAGGGCAGGCGCCCTGGGGTGAGGTCTTGTAACAGCACCGAAGGGCTTTGGTTGGCCCCGCCTCAGCAGAGGGTGCCAAGGAAGTGCAATTCTCCCACTGCCAGGCGGGTGGAAAGCTGGGAATCCTGGGTGGAGAGCCAAGGGTCCAGGAAGGTTCTTCCTGGCCCTGCTGTGAGAGGCAGCAGGGCAGCGCCCGGGGCTGGCCCCGCAGCAATGCCTCGGGCTGCCGGTTATCAGCAGGTGTATCTGCCTGAGCACCAGTTCTCAGCCGGGCTCCCCCTCTGGTGTCACTGTGCTAGGGGTGGGGCTGCCAGAGGAAACCACCAGGTGTTGCCATGGGAAAGTCCCTCCAACATTCTCTAGAAACATGGAATTTCCTGGTTTTAACCATTTCTTACCCAACCGCCATCTCGGAGTTGACCAGAACAGTGCAGACCTCTCCAGTCTCCTGGGACTTTGGGTGTCCGGACTGGGAAGGTGGCACACCTGGGTTCCAGCCCCAGCAGTCTCTGAAGGTCACGGGCAAATTTCTAAAGGTGTGTGGGCCTCAGTGCCTTCGAAGTCTGTAAAGCACTTTCTTTCCAGTTTCCCTAGCATTTCCACACCCATTTTTCCAAGTCATCGATACAACCAACGGAGTAAACGTTACTAACCTGGGATGAAAAAACCGAGAAGGGATGTGGGCTGTGCTCAAGGTCACCCTGGAAGACATACCCTGGGTTCCAGTGTTTGCTCCTGGGCCTCTGCAGGCTCACTGGGAAGATGAGTCAGACCCAACTCCTGGAGCAGCTAGGCCTGGGTCTGGACGCCCCTGGGGCTCGGGGTGTGGGAACTCCGTCTTCCCAGGCAGCGCTCCACTTGGTTAACTTGCCCAACCTGCTGGGTTGACTGTGGGCCAAGACCTGGACTTCCCTACTCCGGTGGACTGCAGATGCCCAAAGGGCACCCGTTGGCCGCCACCGCCGCCCAGCCTCAGGTCCCGACCTCTCTGTGGCTGGGACTCTGGGCCCGTCACCGCCACTTGGGAACTCGGAGCATCCTTTCTCCTTCCTGCTGGGTGGCGGCTGCCGCCCCGCCGCCTCTGTCCCTTTAAGAGAGAGAACGAACACAATCAGGAAGTGTGAGAGCGCGGAGCCGGCTCCTAGCTTAGCAGCAGTGTCCGTCTGGGGGCGGGCGGGGGGGGGGGAGCCGGGGGGGAAACCCTCCGCTGCAGCCCTCCCAGCTCCAGGGGTGCCACGGGCCCCTCCGGCCGACCCAGCCTCGGGGTCCCTGGGGCCGCGGCCACCCGGATGCTGTGCGCCCGGCCTGTGGATGACAGCGAGCTCTGAAAGCTCGGCGGGTGCCACGCGCTCCCACCAGCCTGCCAGGCCCATAGCCGAGATGGGGTGAGTGTGCCGAGTGGGCGGCGGCGGGTGGGGGGTGCTGGGACGGGGCGGCCGGCGCGGGGCGGCTGCAGGGCCGCGCTCCGCGGGGTGCCGGGCTGCGGGCGCCGAGCCGGAGCTCTGGCGGCCCCGTGGCGCCTCCCTCTGCCGCTTCTGGGGGCCCCGGCAGTTTCCCGCGCGCCGTCCCCGGCGGTCACCCCTGCAGAGGGCTGCTCGAGGCCGGAGAGAGGCGGGGACGGCGGTGGCAGGGAGGAGAGCGGCCACCCGCCCACCACGCTCCCTTGCTGGGCTCGGCTTCCTAGCGCCGGGCGCCACGTTCAGCTTCTGCCTCCGTCCTTTCCTCCTGCCGGGCTCCGGGGTCCTGCCCTCACCCCACCTGCGGTCCTTCTCCCCGGCGCCAGGCCCGGGCGGTGGGGAGGAAAGTCTCCTCCCGGAGCGGCTGGGGAAATGGAAAGCCCCAGCGCGGTGGGGGAGGGTGACAGGCAGGAAAGGGTTAAAGGGCTGGGGCCCGTGGCCTCTGACGGAGGCTGAGAAGCACACTGCACCATCAAACAGCACCGAGGGGTGCCTCTCCTCCGCCCTCTTTCCGGTGTAGCTCAACTCCTGGACTTGCCGCAGACAGTAAGCACAACAGACTCTCGCCCGGGAGCGTCTCTGCCTGATCCGCGGCTGCTCGGAGCGCGGGGTAAGTGCGTTTGGCCACCGGAGAGCCCCCGGGAGGAAGAGGAGTGGCGGCGGTGGGTGGGGCAGCGGGTGCCCTGGCTCCGCCGCCCACCCTCCTTCAGCCAACCGCCCCCGAAGGACAGCAGCCTTCCCCGCTCCCGGCTCTGAGCTGGGGGCCGCAGAGCTCGCACAGCCTACCGGATGCGCTCGCCAACCGCTGATAGGCACAGCCGTGGCAGGACCAGGAGCAAACCCAGGACGTGCCGTCCTGCCGGGGCTCTGCCTTTTGCACAACACTGTGCATTCCCTCGGTCTGCAGCTGTGCCCTGCCCCCAGCACCAGGGCCCGTGGGGAGGACCAGCCCTGGGGAGGATTGTGAAGGTGGTGAAATCTGCTGTCCACCCGCTCCCCAGACTGGACCCCTTCCTTGGCCTTGGTTTCAGTGCGCTCTGCCAGGCTTCACATCCTCAGGCCTGCTGGCATCATGATTCTTCCTCGGCCTCTGGCAGGAGGGGGTGGGGGGACGTATCTGATCAACTCGTTCAAACTGAGCTATTACATTGTCTTCAGGGAGTCTCTTTGTATCGCAGTTGCTTCTGGAAAATGCAAACACGAATACGTTTTCTGAAACTAGGACTTGGCTACGAAGTCTCTTCAAGTGGCCGCTGGGTCAAGGAATCGACATTCTCAAGCTTTGCATTTTAAAAAAGATTACAGAGAGAAGGTGCTTGAAAGCCAAGGAGCTGTAGGATTCCAGGTGTGGTGACCCTAGGGTTGAGAACCTTTCAGATGTTAGAAGGTGAAGAAGCCCTGTCTAGTCCAGCCTTATTAGAGCGTATGTAAGAGCTGGTGGCCCTTCTCAAGCTCCTTCTCCCAGTCATCCCATTAAGACCAGCCCTGGCCCTGTTTTTCAGAGAGGATTTGAGTTTAATTTCTGGGGCTACACTCTCTGGAGCCAGTTGCTTTAGAGGAACTGGCCTTTGGAGAGAACAGGATGGAGGCAAAGATGGGGAATGCAGTTGTAGAGGGTTTCAGATTCTCCCCAGGGCTCCTGAACCCTTGGATTTGATGGTGTCCTGCCCACCCCTGCCCACAGGCACTCATGGGTGCGCGTGTGCACGCGCACACACATACTCGTGCGCGCGCACACACTCGCACACTCCCTGCTGCAAGCATGTGCGTTCCTCTCCAGAGCAACGCCAACCTGGCCACAGGGCCGCCCAGCTGCTGTTCGCTCACACCAGCAGGAAGTGGTGGGCCCAAGCGAGTGGGTGGGGAAGGGCTCCAGGCTCATGTTGCAATCCTGGAGATTTGTGGTGGTGTGGTTGACGCTGCCTGACCTGGGGCCTTTCCTTCAAGCGCTATTTCTGCTTCCTGGGACAATCCCAGGCCTGGATGCCAAAAACCCAGAATTCTCAGTGCCTGGGAGAGGTAACAGAGAAAAAGGTCTGTCTCTGCAGAATGGCCTCTGGGGAGGGGGTTGGAGAAGACCGGGAGTGAGGACAGGTCGAGTGCCCTGTGGCGGGACAGGCACGGGCTGCGGGCTGAGGGCCCCACTGGTGGCACTTCTTTTTGGAGAAGTTTCTTAAACTTTCTGTGCTTCACACTTCCTCCGTCCCCTCACCTCTGGAATGGCCACACCGGAACGCTTTTGGGATGGTCTTGGGCACAGCTGCCTGTCAGGCCACCCGTGTCCACCCCAGGTCAGGAACGGAATCCTAGACCCCAGTATGTTCTTTTTCTAGGCCAAAAGTGGCCAGCCAGCCAGGGGCAGGAGATGCAGAGCACCATCAATTACCTATGGCACACGGACGACTTGCTGGGGCAGGGGGCCACTGCCAGCGTGTACAAGGCCCGAAACAAGGTAGGATACAGCCCTGGCCAGGCCCCCTCAGGCCCGGGGAAGTTCTTGGCCCTGTCAGCCCCTGGTGGGCAGCAGGGGTGGTGTGTGGCGAGGCAGAGGCCTAGCACACTCTGGAGCCGGGGGATGCTATGGTTTTGGGAAGAAGTGTGGGGAGCTGTGAAGGGCTCCTTGGGATGATGCTTCTGTCAGGCACACTTTGGGACTGGAGAGAAAGGAAGACCCAAAGCCGGCATCCCAGGGAGGCGGCAGCAAATCTAGAATAGCGGAGTTGGGAAGTGGGACTTGTTTGGATTTACCCTGCCTTTGTCGCAGCTCTGTACTGAATATATGAGAACTGTTGCACAGTCTTGTCTCAAGAGCTGGAGCCAGAACAGGTTCCAGACCCAGCTTTGCTGCTAGCACCAGGGAGTGGCAGGTGCCTATGCGGTTGTTGTCAATAGAAATGGTAATAGCAACAACAAACCATCCCCTGCACCTGCACCGTCAGGTGCACCAAGCCCTCATTCCCCTCCCAGTGCTGGACCAGGCCATGTTCCCTCTGAGGAGGGGAAGGAGCTGAGGGTGGGAGCCCCCAGCCCCTACCAGGCCGTCTTGGCTCATATCTGGTGTCGGGCAGGTGGGAGAAGCTACATGGAGGCCTGGGGGAGTAGCTGTGCTCCCCAGGGCAGGAGTGGGACTTATGTTCGCCCCCATGGCAGAAATCCGGGGAGCTGGTTGCTGTGAAGGTCTTCAACACGGCTAGCTACCTGCGACCCCTCGAGGTGCAGGTGAGGGAGTTTGAGGTCCTGCGAAAGCTGAACCACCAGAACATCGTCAAGCTCTTTGCAGTGGAGGAGACGGTGGGTCCAGTGCTTGGTCAGAGGGAGGGGTTCTTGTCCTTGACCCGCACAGGCTGGGAAGAGTCAGGTCACGTAATAATGGTGATGGGGTCACGAGCTGGTCAGCCAAGAGCAGCAACCTGTAGCGTGGAGGAAAGAATGCTGGGGGTGGGGGGCGCCGGGGTAATACAGGGGAAAGTTAAGAGGGGAAAAGAGGGCTTCCTTGAAAAGGTGACTTTGGGCTCAGGTGTGTGGGGTCACTGTAAGGCCAAGGAGGGAAAGCCAGGCCAGAAGCTGGGACCTAGAGAATGGCAGCTTTTGGCTCTAGGCTGAGTGGCCCCCTCTTGAGAAAGCTGGTGCCTCCCATCGTGATGGATGGGCAAGAGATTGGCCTTCCACCCCCAGCCTCCTTCTCTCTGTCCCACCCACAGGGGGGCAGCCGGCAGAAGGTGCTGGTGATGGAGTACTGCTCTAGCGGGAGCCTGCTCAGCGTGCTCGAGAGCCCCGAGAACGCCTTTGGGCTTCCCGAGGAGGAGTTTCTGGTGGTGCTGCGCTGTGTGGGTGAGCCCCTCCTGGACCGCCCCAGGAAGCCCCCTTCCCTTGTCAGACCGGCCACAGGCTGCCCTCAGTGGAAGGCGAAGTTCCAGAGGGTCTGGCATTTCTGAAACAAATACCCAAACACCGAAGACATTCTGTACCTCAGAGGTTCTCCATTCACAGACCTAGGACGGACACTAGCGAATGGACGGAATCCGAGTGTCTGATTCCCGCTAATCAGCTGTTTAAAACCCCAGCTTAAAAAAAATTTTTTTAAAGCAGGTCATACACCAGTGTTGGTGTCAGTGTTGGTCACAGTAGCCATAAAGATGAGAAAACAACCCAAATGTCATGGGCACGTGGAGGGATCAAATAGTATATATACATATAATGGAATACTATTCATCCTTAAAAAGAAATGAAGTTCTCACACATGCTACACGTGGGTGAACCAGGAAGACACTGGCTAAGTGAAGTCACAGGTACTATCTGATTCCCCCTAAATGCGGGACCTAGTGCTGTCAAATCCACGGAGACAGAAAGAAGGACGGTGTGTGCCAGGGGCTGGGGGGCTGGAGGCATGAGGGTGACTGCTTAATAGGTAGAGTTCCTGCTTGGGACATTGACAAAGTTCTGGAGGTGGATGGTGGTGATGGTTACACCACACCGGTAACGTACTTAATGCCCTTGCACGACACACTTAGAACAGTCAATTTTGCGTTAGGTCTATTTTATTACAATTTTTAAAAACAAATCAGACAGGAAGGGGGGTGCCATCCTTGGGGAGGCAGAGCCACCGTCCCTCTTGATTTCTTAGAGAATCCCGGTGTAATCTCAACACCCATGTCTTTGGGACCCCCCCCGCCTTTGTCCTGTGCCCATCTCTCTTCTCCTGCATTTCCTGTGACCTGTCAGCCCGTGTGAACTCTCTATCTGAACCCAAGGACAGCGTTCTGCCCCAAATAAGCCCCAGACACTGAGCCGTTCCTGGCCAGGGAGCTAGCAGCCCTCCTCTCCCCAGTGGCAGGCATGAACCACCTGCGGGAGAATGGCATCGTCCACCGCGACATTAAGCCTGGAAACATCATGCGCCTCATGGGGGAGGAGGGGCAGAGCATCTACAAGCTGACGGACTTTGGGGCCGCCCGGGAGCTAGATGATGACGAGAAGTTTGTCTCTGTCTATGGCACTGAGGAGTACCTGGTGAGTGGGTTATCGGGGACCCCTGCCCAAGCTGAGGGCCCACCCTTACAGCTAGCTGCCCATCAACTTGTGACTCTCTCAGAGCCCCTCAGGGCTCTGTTCAATCCCCCTGCATGTGGCAAGGTATGCGTCACCTCTGTCCCCCCCCCAACCCGGAAGAATTTATTCTGTTCTCTAAGATGGAAAAGGTGATGCTGCAGACTGCCTGGACCTCTCTGCTCAAGTGTCCCTGCCCGGGCCCCTCTGCCCAGGTCCCCTACCCGGGCCTCCCTTGTGCAGTTAATTCCTTGCTATGATCCTCACCGAGCAGGGGGCACCACTGGCCACCGTCTTCCCCAGGGCCGAGGGTGGGCAGAGAGAAATGCTGTGGATGGGCTAACTGCACACCAGTTTGTGAGATGACGGAGGAGATGGTTCTGATAGTTCTGTTTTCACTGGAAGGTGTTGGAAGGAGGTCTGATGGATGGGGGCTCAGGCCCTTGCCCACCCTCCCGCTCCATGGC